GGAAGATAACCTGGTATAGTCTCCTATAAGGCTGAATATGTCTGTAAGATTTTTGGGGGGTCTATAGAGTTCAGAAAGGCGCTATCCTCGGTTATAGGTACTTACACAACTTATAGGGGTTATAAGGTGTTAGGCGGGTTATTGGAGCTTATAACTGCCTACAGTCGTCCCCCTTGCTGAAGGCCAATACAGCGAATTCTTCCCACCTTCTTCAAGAATTATATAGCATGCCCAAAAAGAAAAAAACTAATGTTGATTCACAATACTACATTACGGTACAGGACAATCAGAACTGCGCTGTAAGAAATGATTCGTACAGAACTCAGAATCTAGGACATACCACAGAAGGACCTGGGAATTGACCTATGAACCGACTTAACGAGCCAGTAGCAGAGAGGCAAAAGTACACTTACCCAAATTCTCTTAGTCAATCGCCATCAATGTGGCTCAACTGTGATGTATTGACCACAAGTGTACACGATGATGAACCGATGACGAACCGACGTCATTCACAACCATTACCCTCCACGCCTGTCCACACCGTATCATCACTGAGAAACTTCACGTTGGCGTGGAAGGTGGAGGTGATGTCTGATTTTAGACTTATTGTCAAGAATGTCTGCTATGGGGAACCGAGCGTACGAAACGGCGCTGATGTAGAAGACTGTCATGCGATGTGGTGGTTGAAAGGAAGAAAGGTGGAGTCACGGAGTCACGTTGTGGTGACTTATATGTTCATTCCGGAAATATGACATCACTTTATCGTAATTCGTAAAGCAGCTCCACCAAGTCTCCACTGCCCCGAACAAACTTCTCGTCCCCTCCCCACCCTCGAGGCAATTGCTCTCGGGACGCCTGTGGCCCTGAAATACGTCAATTTAACTCGGACAACAAACATGTCTCTGACTCAAAGTTGAAGAGAAAAGCAGCTCTGACCTGGAGTCGATGCAAAGCCCGCATTACCCCGGCCCGGACAATTGCAGTCCCTCCTGCACCGTCGAGCGCACGCCCTTCTGTGTCATGAATCGCCTGGGTTCTACTTTTTTCACGCGACGTGTCTGTACCGCATACAGATGTGTCTGCATCACGGGACTCTCATGACGCGACCACAGGACCTTCTCACGGTTGAAACCCGATCGTGGGTTTCAACAGACTTGGACAAGAGAAGACGTTAAGGGTTAGGGAACCCGCACAGTCGATTCCCCTAACCCTCCGATGCTACATACAGGAGCCCGATTGCGGGCTTCAGGGACCAAGATATTAGAAGACGTTAAGGGTTAGGAATACCGCACCACCGGTCCTCCTAACCCTCAGACGCTATGGTGATAACACACAGGGGACAGGAGCATCACACATTAATGCTCCTTAATGTTGCTACACAGGAACTGATCATGATCACATTAATTTATTTGTAACATATATAAACACGGTAGAATCTCCTTGTAAAGTAGATTCTACCTCGTCTAATCTCAGGCTTCTGCTTTGGCTTGACTTAGGGATTGTCTCCACCCTGTCCCACTTCCCCTCCATTCTATTGCGGGTTGCGTCCACACCCCGGGTATTATACCTGAGTGGATATCATACCCTGTTCGACTCATTCCGGGTTCTGCCTCGCATCCCGACTCACAATATACGGCCTCCTAACGAGGAGTCTGTTCGCTTGGTCTTGCTGCTCGAGGATCGAACCAGTTATTAGTGACTGTCAGGTTTCTCCTGGTTGGGGTTCTCGCCGGGTTGCTCGTCGTTTAGCTGACCCAGAGGCCGTTGCTGACATTCTGTATGGGCGCGACAATTCAACCATACTTTGGTGTCAAATTTCGCCTAATGTACACAATCTTGGACTCTTTATTCCTTCCCTCTTACATTTGTTCGAGGTTGTCGTTAATTCGGAGACCACAGAACCTCTCTTGATGCTGAAGGGTCTACCTCTCAAAATCTGGCTCATTTATTTTGCTTGGATTGACCCCTGGTTGAGGCAATAATCCGGTGCATACGCCGTACATCAATTCCGTAGATCTTACACAGTTTTAAACTGCGACACCGTGCACGCTGAAGGCTTGGATGCTTGGCTGGCTTAGTGAGCAAGTGGTGTGCTTGTTCCATCTTATCTTCCGATGTTAACATGTGTCTATTTCAGGTCTGTTTCAACACCCTTTGCCTGTGATACAGACGTCCATGAGTAGTCTCGAACTGAACTTCATTAATTCAGCCCTCTGCACTGGGTAATACTGTGTACGCGGCGGCTGCCCCACAAAGAAGATGTCATTATTTCACATCATTTCTCTTGTGTATTGGGGACGCACTCATCCAAGTATCTGATTCAGTTGATTTGTTCCCTTGTGTCAATGGAAATCGACCATGTTATTCCTCTCAAAGCTTACCAACACTTGTGTGTTTGATAGATAACTCAGGAGAATCTGGAGGAATCGGCAGGGACTGCATCTGTTCATTAGTATGACTTTGTGTATTAGTTACTTGAATATGAGCTTTTGGGTGTAGATCTTAGGCACTGTAGAGTATCAGAGCATATGTCTAGATTTGAAAATTTCTGGCTTCAATCTCGGGAAAGTTTTTGGGTCGGTGGGTAGCTGCATAATATTGTAAGATACCTTGAGAGAACACAGAAATTTATAGGTACTTATAAGTACTTACAGCCCTGTCATAAATCCGGTATAACCACGGTGTAAGCTGCCTCTAAGGTCCTATAAGGGCCCTATAAGGCTGTAACCCATTGTGACCCCTTATAGTCTCCCGGGCCCTTTTGCGACAACATCCCAATGAAAGTATGGCACCCAACTATAAAAGGTCGACACATTGAGTGCAACACATTTTTACATGGACAGGAATTGCCGAAAGCAGTCTCACTGACTTCAAGTCAATCCAAAGACCAGGAAATTTGCATTAAAATGGATCTAGAGCTTGAAATACATGAGGCATTGAGTCTTTCGTACGGTAAAATATTGAGTATAAACCTAATGGGTGCGCTGGTGTACTGTGCACGATCATTTGGTTTCAACTATGTTGACTGGGTCAAGACCATCAATATTTCCCTTGCATTTCTGCAAAACTGGCTTCGGTGCAGGGGGGTGTGGGCAAGCTGGGTGAAGGGGAAAAAGCTGGAATGGATGAGAGCTGAAGAAACAATGGGGCTGGCGAGGACTGAGGTTGATAAAGGAAAGGAGCTGAGATGCCAATCAAATTGTTGTTGTATTCAAGCATGGAAGATGTCAAAGCTAGTATTGAGGTAGTCTCTGTAACAGAACCGATATACAGATGACTATCAAGATGTATCTGTGTATGGTCTGTTAGTAATCATGGGTCGCTTGTTGGTAGACCGACAGATTATGTAAAAGGGACCAATTGCTATTTTGTGGTCTTGTTCTTGGACGCCTTCTGAGGCAATAATTCCACAAATATTTGAGCTTATAAAGGATCTTCCAATGAACGAAATATTCCCTTACAACTAAGCAAAAGATGGAGTGTTGTAATGATATGAGATGAGTTTGTTGACATGGGATTGTCTCAGCAGTTTTGCAGTTGATTCTGGCTGGAAGGATGAGGGCGATAAAACACTTGATTCTTGCTGGAAGATCTCCTCAATTTTGCTTCATGAACACGAATTAATATTTCAAGATATTCACAGTGCGTATTTGTTGCAATACAAAAGAAAGAATGTCCGTAGGTACAGCCACTCTTTTATGTAATTTGACGGTCTGCCAACAAGCGGCCCGTGATTACTATCAGACTAGTATTGAGGCATCAGGAGTCAGAAGGCTAACCCCAGATTGCTCAAGGAAGGACCAATCAAAATTATTCAAGTCTGATATCAATTCGAAACTGGTGAAATTCGAAATATCAGACCAGAAGTCTGCATATCCTCCGGAATTGGTGGCAGCTGAGCTGAGGGGATTCAAGGGAGCCACATGCAAGCTACGCTGCCATTTGAAACCAACGTTCAGAAAATGTTTTCAGTGAAATGTTTTGGCAATGTTGTCTCAAGTATTATCACAACATTTCAAAGCCAATCCCATGAGAATTTTTCAAGAACAATATTCCTGGAATGTTCTATTGAACATTTAGTTAAGGCTTCCTTGAACATGTTTCATATCTTATGAAAGATATATGAAAGCTATTGTGTGGGGAAGAATAGGAACATGAAAATCTTATTGGGCACAAGTAAATAATGACAATACTGTAGTGATAGTAAAAGCTACATCACAAAAGGCATCTGTGATGTCACGGTGTGCATGCTGCTAAATGGGAACACTAGGATGGAGCAGGGTGGGCATTAACTCCTCAGATGTCAAGGTGGGAGCCTTGAGAAGTAAATAATAAGCCCCAATGCAGGAGGGAATCTTTGAAAGGAAGTTCAAAGCACGTCTTGAGGTTGGGCATGAGTTGTATGACTACTTTCCCACAGCTATGTTTTTGCGGAGATGTGAGTGGAGGCCTTGAGGCTTTGAAGCTTTGAGGTCTGCTTTCATCACTTGAGGATCCCAATGGGTGTTCCAAGACTTGGAACGCTCAAGAGGAGTGAACAGGTGACATATATGTGGACTGACATATTTTGAGCCCCGTCAATCCAGCAATGATCTTGAGCCAATGTGAATGTATTGGAGGAGTTGCAGTTGTACGGAGAATGGTTCATGAAGAGATTCTTGCATAGCAGCAGAAGGGAGGAGCAAAGAATTGTTCCAGGAACCTGTATGTGGTCTTACATGTACAAACAATGTGCACAGGTCTTTGGCAACATCCGCCAACTTTGTCTTTGACAAACCAACAGAAAGCCCAAAGCCTGCAAACACTGGAAATAACTATTTCTCGGCTGGAAGAGCAGTAGAATTTTAGATATATGAATGGTGAGCTGGTGGAACAGCCCTTGTGAACTGGACTGTGGGATTCTGTTGTGAGAGCAGCACTTGAGTGTTTTTCTGCCATTTTTTTTTTCGGAAATAACTATCCCAGCACCTCTGGACCATCCGATAAATATTTTATTTCAAGGCGTCATAGCTCAGCTGGGAGAGCAGCAGACTGAAGTCACGTGATTACATATCTGAAGGTCCCGTGTTCAATCCACGGTGATGCCATTCTTTTTGCACTTTGCGCAGTTCATCTTTCTTTTTACGCTAAATTTCCAACCAACTTCTTTTTCAAGACAACTGATTCAAACTGTCTGAGGAAAGCAACCAGACTTGTCTCCAGGATTATTTAGGATACCTTAAATCACATAGATCATCACCACAGTTTCACCCTTTGGGTGCCATGTATCCGCCATGACACAGCTACTTGCTGTGTATCATTCATTTCATTCAGTTTGCTCAAGTCCCAATCATAATTACCTGCATCTGTTACATTCCAGCCCAATCAATATGGCCTGCATGGCCTGTACACAAGCCTAATTTGCTGACTTGGATGCCATTGCCACAGCGCTTTGCAAACTCCTCAAAGCTAGTCATTCAACTGTCTGCACTGCCAAATCACTGACTTTGGAAGCCTGCCTCAGAATGAATTATGGTGCTTATTTGAGTCAACACTGTATATGTAGCCCTTGTATTGAACACTATTGTGAGGATATATGGAGGATGTTCTGTGGATGTTGGAGCAAAAATGTACGACAACTATTTGGATGACATTGGACAAATATGCTGGGCAAGATTTCTGCACCATTTCGATAGAACATTTGTCAAATAAAGGTGTTGATTGGTGGTGTAGTGCTACCAAATGCATCCTGAAAGAGAGCAGTGTCCCATGATGTAGTATAATCACAGATTGGGGGTGGAGCAGTTGAATCGGAAGCATAGCGACCAGAGTAGACTCTGTGAATAAAATTAGTGCTCTGTATTCTTCACGCAACTCAGATGAAGTCACTGAATGATTCGATTGAATCTACACTCATAGGTACAGCAGTAGATCCTTCAAAAGGATTAGTGTCTTGGATTCTGAAATATGCTGAAAAATAACACACCAGTTGTCCTCGTTTTGACACGCCTGCTGGAGCTAGTGGAGACAAACACAGTATGCACACTGCAGGACTTGGTGGCCTTGAGTTGCTTGTGAAGTTCGGACTTGCAAGCTTGCAATGCTTTCAGCCACACGGCCAAATCTTGCTTTTTGGATTGAATCACCTCCATTTCAAGGTCAATCTGGGCCCGCTTGTCTGCGAGCTTGTGGGATTCCTGCACCTTGTGCATTGCCGTAGATTGGCACATTTATTTCAAGCTCTGTGATTGTAAGACTTGTTTTGCAAATTGATGAGCACACCTGATCAAATGGATATTTAGATCTCACGAACGACGTGATAAAAATGTAAATTTTGTGGAACCTTTGGCACAAGGACGTGCGCCTCAATCGCGCAGTTCTAACGATAATAAAATCATGTATATTGGTTAAGAACTGCGTGAGATACGAAGGATTTATTTGGGGACAGATTTTTGATTAGTAAAAGAAAATATTTGATCCGTGCCCTAAGTTCCGCAATTAGCTGTAAAGGTGATTTTTGCACACATCAAAAAAAAAATGAATGTCACTGTCACGTGAACAAGTGGTCGAAATAGTAGTATTCTTTATTCAAGAACTCGGGAGTGATGACGGTCCAAACGTTGCATAAATCAAAATGGAATATTTTTTTTTGCCTTCAAAAAAAATTTCCAGGAAAGCTCAGAATACCTCTGTGTCGCATACACACATCCCAGGTGAATCTAGCAAGCTCTCTCTGAGAGGAATAGAGTTCCATTTGAGTCCAACTGGCGCCAGACGCCATTTCGGCCCAAAGCGGCCGACTTTGTACAGCCACCTGATTGACACATGTCTTTGGCATTGAATCTTCGACTCGGTGACTCAGACCTCAAGCCCTTCTCTCACTCCTGTGGACAGCAATAAACCGTCTCATTTTCACCGACCCACACCTCAGTACACCATTTTCATTCATAATGTGAAAGTATCCTCAAGCCCTGCACCCAAAGCCCTGCGCATTGTGCCCAAATCAGATGGGTAAGTGAAACAGTGATTCACATCTTCATACACTTCCCTGCCAACAAAAACTCGACATCAGGGTAGCCATCCTCATCGTGCTCTTGGGGCAAAAGACCATAGCCCACAGGTATTGTCTGACCACTTCTGCAAGGATGCCGATAGAGTGGCTCTTGTCATCTGAATGGTGTCTGGCACCAGTTGGACTCAAATGGAACTCTCTTCCTCTCAGGGAGAGCTTGCTAGACTCACCTGGGATGTGTGTATGCGACACAGAGGTATTCTGTGCTTTCCTGGACAAACATTTTTGAAGGCAAAAAAAAAAACTTCCATTTTGATTTATGCAACGTTTGGACCGTCATCACTCCCGAGTTCTTGAATAAAGAATATATACTACTATTTCGACCACTTGTTCAGGTGACAGTATTGACTTTTTTTTTGATGTGTGCAAAAATCACCTTTACAGCTAATTGCGGAACTTAGGGCGCGGATCAAATATTTTCTTCTATTACTGATCAAAAATCCGTCCCCCAATAAATCCTTCGTATCTCACGCAGTTCTTACAGCTAATCACGGAACCGAAGGCGCGAACAAAAAATTTCCAGTTTGGGATGTTTTCAAAGAATTACCCATAACTCAGTGAGTTCTTTATGGATTTGGATGAAACCATGTTAGATAATTCGGGCTAATTCATACGGAATTAGTGATAGAAAGGATCTTGTGGAAATATGTCATATTGGATCATCTGCCATTTTGAAGCTTTTTGGCGACGAATTTGATCTAGCATGCCCAATTAATGTCCTATTGGCCTGAGCTTTGGCTAGGAAAGACTTGTTAACATTATGAAACATGTCATAGAGTCAAAAGTAGATAATATCTTGTCTTTGGTTCAATCCCGATGATATTTCAGAGCCTGTTGGGTTGCCTGTGATCCCAACCTGACTGGAAGCATCACAGATTGAATTATTCAAAGTTCTGACTCTATGACATGTTTCTAAATCTATGTCGGCCATCTGTTGCAAAATACCATGTTGTTTGAACATGCCTGGACCTTGCTAGACCGCATTTATCTCAAAAGTGACCCAAAATCCTATATCATCCAATGTGAAATATTTTCACTGGTTTCTCTCTATCACCAGTTCCATATGAATTAGCCCGAATTATCTAGCATGGCTTCATCCAAATCCATGAAGAACTGACCGAGTTATGGGTAGTTCTTTGAAAACATCCTAAACTGGGAAATTTTTGTTCGCGCCTTCGGTTCCGTGATTAGCTGTAACCAATATACATGATTTTATTATCGTTAGAACCGCGCGATCGAGGCGCACGTCCTTGTACCAAAGGTTCCACGAAATTTACATTTTTATCACGTCGTTCGTGAGATCTAAATATCCATTTGATCAGGTGCAAAAAAAAAAAAAGCTTCCGTTTTGATTTATGCAACGTTTGGACCGTCATAGGGAGTCGGCATGAACTTCTTGTCGGCCATGATATCTCGGTTGTTGGGATCTCTGCCTTTTGCGTTGCGGGAATGAAGACATGCAGTTTCCTATATGCGCGTGTACTGCTGATATTGTCATGTATAGGATTATCAATGAGGCTGTGTCGTTTATAGTATAGGAAGGACTGTCCTCCTACCGATGTCGCCTTTTTAGACGACATGGAGCAGACCGAAGAGACCGAGATCCCAACGGAACCGCTCACCCAACCAGACTCTGGTGAATCAAACGACGAGTTGTGGGGGTACCTCACACCGTGCCTCAGCCGGAAGCTTCAACGCGTCGACCTCGTCAAAACCCAATTAGAGTTCACCATCGGGCGCCATTCAGACAATATCGTCAACTTTGCGGGCTTCAAAATCAGTGAGTGGCGACTGAATCTAATCAGCGGCGAGTTTCACGTGTCCGTGCAGGCAACCACCATGCAAAGATACGCTGGAACGGGCTCCAGAATGCTGCCTCGATAATAACTATTGAGGACACATCTAGCAATGGTACCTTTGTACGTGTGCCCTAACCGACGCACGCAGCGCGACTGACCGGCCACAGATCAACGGCGAAAAAATCGGCAGGGGACAAAAGCGCCTGCTCAGAGATGGGAATGAGGTTGCATTCGGCGTCGCAACACGGTCCCTGGAGGAGGACGGGGCGTTTGATTATCGTAAGCCTTTTGTTCTTTGACGACCCCGCGTTTTCAGCTCGCACCAGGCTTCATCTTTCGAGATCTCGTGCCCGGCGTCGTAAAACGCGCACTGTACAACTCATACGATATCTCCATTGAACTCGGCAAGGGCTCATTCGCGACCGTCTACAAAGCTCTCCACAAGGCCTCCGGTCAGTGGGTCGCGATCAAAGTCATCCACGAGGTGCGCCCTTTGTCTCTACTTTATTTCTGTTGATTGAAGACAATTGAAGACTAATCGCCACAACGCCCCGGCCTCCGACGCTGCTCAGACTCGCCAGAATCGCGAGATTCACGTCATGGAGACCATCCAACACCCCAATATTTGCCAGCTGCGCGAGGTGTTCCGCAACGCGAACGGCAGCATTGGTATGTAGACTGCTGTTCGACGATTTCAAAGCTGACTGACGCGCACAGACGTCGTCCTCGAGCTCGCAGACGGTGGCGATCTCCTGGACTACATTCTACAGCGTGGCGGTCTAAGTAAGTTGCAACCTCGGCCATGGTACTGGTGCTGATAGCGCGCAGCGGAGGACACCGTAAAACATATCACGTATCAGATGTGCCAGGCGCTCGCATACATCCACGAAAAGGGCATTATCCATTGCGATCTGAAGCCCGAAGTTCGCTTCTCTTTTCTCTGCATTCAATCTAATTTTAATATGAGCCAAATCACAGCACGTCCTGCTAACGACAGACGACCCGCCCATTGTGAAGGTCGCGGATTTCGGCCTCGCGACGATCATCGACAGCATCGACAGCATCACTATGCTTAGAGTGCGCTGTTCTTGTCTGAAAGCGTCTGATTCTGATTGTCAACCGATAGACGATGTACGGCACGCCGCCGTACCTCGCGCCGGAGGTTGTCACGCAGGAGAAGGCCAGTGGGTACGACTCACTCGTGGACAGCTGGAGCGTCGGGGTCATTCTCTTCTCC